TTTTTATTTATTTAAACAAAATTACGGTGCCATGACCATCTAGTTCTCCCCACCTCAGGTTAGCACATTGTACGCAATGATGGAAACCGCTGTCAGTGGTATAATTTCCCAAACCCAGCTAAGGACACGACAGGTAAAATTACAACCGAAAACTGCTTTAAGATGCTTATAGTCGAGCACAGAAATCGAGACCATGGTCCTACCATAACACTCGCTCAGTGTAACTGAACAGCAATCAAACACATGTCTCGGCCACTGGCGCCTATTTGTCCGATATGAACCCGCAAGGCGATCATACGAGTGGCGTACGTCATGTCGCGTGGCATTGAAAGACATGTGACCGCGGCGAGCATGGAGGAGAAACTACGGCAGCTTTGAAAACATGTTTAGGTTCGTGCGCGTTGAATCGTAGGACCGTGAGTAGGATCTCGCACAGCCCTGGTTTAGGGCTGTGGATCGACACCCGAACATCTGCCAGCGGGTGGTGTGGTGGCGCATATTTGTTTAATATGACCAAAACAAGGCTATTGAAAAGCGTGCGGCTTCTGTGCGCATGGAAGAGCAAACACTGTATCCTTATGTAACTAAACGTTCCGAAACGTGGACAGCAAAACTGTGTAATTTTGATAGCACTGCCTGAGGGCCTTCGAATGACACCCAAGCATCGGTCACGTCGCGGCGCCTAATTGTTTCATGTGACTCCAAACTGTGCGAATTGAATGGCGTGCGAACGCTGTGCGTATAAAGTAGACAATTGGACAGGTTCTAAATAAAAAAAAAACATCAGCGCGGAGAGTGAGACTGTGCGCAGTTGATAGCACTAACTTTGGGCTATCGAAGGTCATCGAAACGCGTAACGCGGACTCCCAGCATCTGCTCGGTCAGGGCGACGATAAGACCCCGCACTGCGCATTATGCACAGGCTGGCGGCCGCCCGGCGTGCGGAGGAGATACCCCGCGTCATCTCGAGAGTGAGTATATGAGTAAAAAGTGATTGGTTGATTGATTGATTTATTGTGTGGGCGAGTGAGAGTGAGACACGCACGGCACGGCACAGACATGACATGAAGGCACCGCTTGGGGCGACGACTCTGCGGTGGCGCAGCCGGCAGGGGCAGGCGGTGGAGCGGGCAGAGGCCAGCGAAGCAGGGCAGGTGACGACGGGAAATACTATGGCTAGACGGCTGGTGGCGGCAACTGGAGAAACCTGACTACAGGGGAGACAGTGACGACCAGACGACCGGGACATGCGGGAGACGACGACTGGAGGATTGGGAGCTGTACTGCCTTCTTTCCATACTGATCCACCACGGAGGCATAAAACAAGGTGAGTAGTCAAAACTTCAGATAACAATTATTTGGGCCTCATTTCTTCACATGAAATGCTTCGTGAGCAAGTCTCGCATTGTTGCTCTTTGCAGGTGAATCTTGGTACACCAATTTTCGTATGCAAGTTGTCGTATCGCAAACTTTCTTTAAAAATATTCGAATATAAACATTTTCATTCTGGAAACTTCGTGTGGGAAATGGCTTTAGGAAATTTTTTCGCATATGGTTTTTCCAATCGTGCTTTTATTAGCGTGCCCTTGCATCACATTTATTGGTAGGCAAAATTCGTCGGATCTTATTTCTCCACATGCGCAGAACTCCGCATCACGTATATCTTCGCATATCCCCCTATTTTGGCTCGTGATGTAGCGGTGTTGAAAAATGAATGGAACTGAAGGCCGACAAACGGTGTTGACGTTATTCTCGGATTTGACCTGATCTCACATTGACTGTCAATGACAAAGAGAGCCACGAACATTTGTGGCATGACCAAGTCGCACTGCCTCGCACTTTGGAACAACTACATAAGGATATTCGGTGCGCAAAGTTTGGGATATTTGCAGGTCGTCGATCTTTTACTTCTTTATTCTGCAGAACGCTGAACATGAGGTATGTCAATGTGCTAACGCCGCAGGAAGTTGATACCTTGAGGGCAGATATAAAAAAATTACGGTTATGTGCATGCAATTGTGTTATATTACGCTAAGCAGTCCAGACGATGTTTCCAAAAGGCTGGTGGCTCCCGGTCGGTACACCAGTTTTAGATCCTTTCGTGTTCGGTATTGATAGTATCACGCCAAGTTCTGCGATATGGCTGCCGAAACCGAATGCTGCGATATCGCTGTTCAAATCGAATGCTGCGATATCTCTGTTCAAACGAATCACGGACCAAAAACTGAGTGAGCCAGGAAAAAACGTCGCAAAAAGGAGGCAAGCGTGAAGAACCTGCAAAAACGTAGTCTTTTTGTCGATTGAAACACTAGCGGAAGACCGAGAATGGCAGACCAAGTCACACATTTCTGGTCATGAAGAGGTTTTTATCATGCAGCTGCGTCACGAACGTTCACGTCAGACGGACTGGTCGTAAGGTTGTGGCGAAATGCGAAGAGTATTTTTGGGAAGCTGAATGCATTTCTTTTGGTCTTAAAGAATACAGTAGAAAGCACGGAGTTTTTTCAAAATGAAATCAATTTAGCTACCTCCTTTTGAATAACACATTTTACCCATTTCCTTAGCGTTTCTTAGCATTTTGGCAAAAATCGGCGTTTTTGTATCGTGTGTAGAATAACCAATAAATGGCATTTCAGCAAAGGGATGTGAGTTTCCGAAATCTCAGACTCTTCTCTTTACCATCGTGTCTCAACTGCGTGGGAAATGTTGCATTTCATGCATGGTAACAGCAAGAACACTCAGGCACGCGCCTTCCATGATTGCTCACCGGATTGCACCTGCTTGGCGGTAGGTGATGTATTTCTTGATAAATATTCAAAGCCCCCTTGGACAGCAGAACATGTCTTAGAAGCGTAGAGTGTGTGATGTCGCAAATGTCGGTGTTAATAAGCTTGTTTATTAAGTAATACAACCCGTATTGATTTAACCATCAACATGAAGACATTCCGTCATCAAAAAACCGTTTAGACCGCAGGACTATTCCTCGCCACAACTGCAAAAATGGCATGCGTCCGGAACAGACGCTTAAGATATATTTGTGATAGGCAGCCCTGGGCGAATCACCGCGCCTCTCGAGCAAAACACCCTTGTGCAGAGCTTTTGAAAATGGCTATGGCGTCAGCAAAGTCCAGATTTGTGTGCTTCGATGCTCGCAGATCGAAGAAGACAATTGAGGCTCGCAAATGAACACGCATTCAACCACTCACTGCAGTTCAAACACAACCCATGAGTGCTTCAGTGCTTTAGCAAGGTGTCCTCCACTTGCGCATCCTAGTCTTCCATTTGTGTGTTGGCTGGGGAAAGCGTATCTTATGCCGAAATCCTTGCAAAAAATTATGCATGCAAGTTACAACGAGCCCCTTTGTGAGCAGCGCAGTGTTGACTTTATGTTACAAAAAGTGGAAAGCTGCAGAAATGGCTGGTGATACAGAAGTCCAACAAGCTCCAACAGAACCAAGATTACCAGCAATTACTCGTATGGTAGACTTTCAGAAATGCACTTTGTAATAACTTAACCACATAAACGGCAACAAATCCCTATCAAAACAGCGTTTAGGCCATAAGACTATACATCATAATCGTTGTTCAAATGAAATGAATCTGAAACTTATGTTGCAACGATATTTGTGACAGCCCTGACGGCACCAATCGTGTGAAGTGCCCTTTTGCGGGATAACAATCGGTTGGGACGTCATCAAAATATCAATTGCGTGCTACGAGGCTCGCGTATCGAAGTAGACACGTGATACTCCTAAATGAGCTTGTATTTAACCGCTCACTGCAGCCCACACGGAATCCATCAGCTTAAGCGCTGATCCGGATTGTACCGCACTGCTGTCTCCCAGCTCTTTATGCGTGTGCTGACTGGCTGCAGTGCATGCTGTGGAGAGACCTGTGCATAAAAATAAGGCATGCAACCAGCCCCTGTTTGAAAAGCGCAAAACTGGCTTTAGAATTCAAAAGTGTGAATTTGCTTGGATTGCTGGCGGTACGAGAGCCAGAACGAGCTTCTAAATTCCGAAGATGGACGCTCGTTACTAACGTATCAGGCAATACGCTTTGGCAATTGGAGAGTTTGACTTTTCCGGTTGACAGCGCATGACTTTCAGCACACCTGAACCCGAAGGGTTCGCTACGACGTCTTTAACATTACGAAAAAGCTCCCTGTTTCTGAACCCCTTCTGCGAATTCAGAAGTGAATCTCATCCTGCGATTGGTCAGGGGAAGTGGTGTCGTAACGGGTTGAAACTCTGTGAAACGCCGGTTGCTATGGTGATTAATAACCCTGCGGCATCAGGGAAAACTTACACAACGCTGTTCTTGCTTCGGCTGGTAGTGCGCGAAATAGTGACGTTAAAAGAGATATCTGGTTGATTTAAAACTAAAATCGCGATAACCTTAGAGTTGACACTGGCAAGAATTATTGAAACTCAGCTGTCGCTCTTCGCGCCGTTCGCTTCCCATTCGACGTGCTCATTTTGTTTTGAGGCTTATGCAGCGCAGTCATGTGATACCATTTTGTGACTGTGCAAATCAGAATTATAAAATTGAAGCTTGGGATCTGACACCGGTGTAGGTGAAAGCGTCTGGGATCTGCAACATCTGCTTATAAGTGCAGACCCAGATATGAGTTTAACAATGGGACGACGTTTCCCGGATGCTATCTTAGGGAGTACTAGCGAAGTTATTAATGTATCAGTGACCTATGCCCGGTATCGAGCATCATTTTGGTTGAGTGTTAACTGTTATAAGATGAAGAATATTGAAAACGACTGAGTACCATTTAAGCTATCTTGGTAGTATGGTACATTTTCAAATATACTGAATGCCATAATTCGGCAGAGATGTTCACCAAGCGCGAGCAATGGTGCACGTGATACCGGGTGGGATGCTGCTGGCTCCGGACCTACCTGGCTCTGTACCTGCAGATGGGCAAAGTCCCACTAGTCAACGGGATGCAATCCCAGAACGGCCACGCCTGTCCGCGGCTACGGGCCGAGCTACGGGTGCCCGTGCGCCACGGAAGGTCGTCCACCCGGCTTCATGTTCCTGGCGCTGGTGATGACGGACGACATGGCCGTCCGGCTCATCCCACGCGGCGAGAACTCCTGGCCCTGGTACGCGGCTCCACTCCGGGCCCTGGTACGCGGCTCCAATCCTGTCGCCGCCCAACGCTCACGGCCTGCAGAAGCTGCCCTTCGATCTCGAAGTGGTATCGTCTTGGTATCGGCGCCAGCAAGAGCTACCACTGACTGAGATGCCGACCGGCCTGCCCATCAACGCTTTGGCTGTGTTGCTGTCTACTCGCTGATCACATTGCTGTTAATGCGAACGAACCGCAACATTTTGCTGTTATTACGGTGATTTGTATTGTCGCGTAAGCCTGGCGGTTAAAAAATGATGAACTCATTACATGAGAGTTATCCGCCCAGAACAGCAGCATTTATGTGTAAGTGGTGGTTGCCAATTTAAAATGACAGGTTGTATGTGCATACGCGCTTACAATTCTGTTTTCCACTTCAGGATACCAGAATATGGCGCGACACAGACCACAGGCAACCCTTGAACACTTCACCACAGTGCAGAATCCGGGTTCATTGCCATGGCAGCCGGGTTTAAGTATGCGACGACATGATTTCCTGACCAATTAAAGCACGAGTGTGATTTCCAAATTTGCGGCTAATCCCAAAGCTATAGTCGCGTTACCTACGGAGACCAGTGCGCTCTACCTCACTGTTTCTGTAGTCCTGCCTAAGCCTATATGTATTCAGGTGCGCAGAACGCATCTGTGTGGCAGTATGGCTGCCTGTTCTTGTGTCAGCCGTATTGCTTCTGTCCCGTGTTGTCGCGAACCTCGGCTGCTCCGTGCGCTTCACCAGAAAAACGTGACTGCACAGCCAAGTACAAGCCAGCGGCAGGCCGGCTAACGAGCGGGGCTTTCCCCGACGAAATCCGAAAATTTGCGGCGGGTGACGTTTAAGGCTATTGTCATTTTTACCTTTACCTCTCACCCGGTTTAGACAAGAGTGTGTTGATTTCGAGATCGGTTTCGAAAACACGACGTTGATCGCTTCACGATCGACGGCTGACGTCCATACGGATCGGATATTATTGGGCGACATAGGTGGTTTGTAGACGGCACATGGGCCTACATCATGCAGTTGTTTTTATGACGTTATGTGCATGGTCTGTCGTGATCGGATATAAATCCTGTAAAATGCCCAGAAACTGCCGACTTCGTGGTTTTTGAACGAGCGCACGTGAGCCGCCAACACGCAATAGCGCGCCCTTTTGTCAGTGCGGCAGTCCGTTCTTTGCCTAGTCGAAATATACTGATTTTTATTCAAACCGTGTCGGATCCATAGCCTCCGCCAGCTCTGCGTCACATGGAATTAGGCTTATTTTTGGCAGCATAGTCATCTACGAACCAAACGAGCGGAAACGAGCAGAGGTAAGGGAAATGCATTGCATTGGAATGATATTGGTGTGCTAGTGTTAATGCAGGTATGTGTGCAAACGTATTTATTGAATTTGCCTGCTTTTCGTGGGTCACAGCAAATAAGTTAACTATCGGGAGCACACTTACATAGCGTGACAATGAACTGCCGGAGGATCTCAGTTCGACGTCTTTGAGATGTGATACTTGAGGATGTCATCGACGCTGTCCACCGCTATTGTGTACCTGTGTGGCCAAGTTACGTTCATGTTCGAAAGATGAGAGTGAAAGGCACCCTTCGATCTGTCCTGGAACACACGGTAACGGCCATCCCACTTTTGAATTTTCCACAATTTATACTTCCGCAGTTATGATCCAATTACCACCAAGAATACCTAAATATTTTCTTATGCTTTTTGAAATAAGTTATCCAATGAAAATGCAGGTTGGTTATTACCTTGGTTTAACCTTTATTCCTGACCCCAGGTCAATGGAACAAACCGTTCTTCTAAATTAAACTAGCTAATTGTCTAAGAAACTAACTCAGAGATGCATGAATTCGTCTAATGCTCCGTTGTCGCATCAGGTTGAACAACTCCCCAGGAACTGGCCTCGTTGAGTGCGATAGCTTCATCTTGACCTGTCATAGGTCAGCGACGTTACAAGGTACAGGGGGCTGCAATTGAAATGATCACAACTAGGGTCAAACACGTTTTGGCACTTAGTGCGCCTTGAACTGCGACCTGTGCAGTCACTCAACCACTGACATTTCCGAACGTCTGCTTTATCGATATAAAACTGATCCTGACACTCCACGGCGGGACAGGTTATCCAAATCCTGTAATCGTCTCTGCAAATACGACCCTCCCAACCGGCGGGTAAGTCACGTGATTACTGAGTGTGCACACGGTACTGAAAAGCTTGAGGATGTGAACACGCATTTGAACGGTGTGGAACGGTGGACCCCCAGTGCTTAGCAGCCCCTCCAAAAAATTCGTTTCCGGCTAATATCCTTTAAGATTCCTAGAGATGCTGTTTTGTACGGGAACGCATCTTACTGTGCACAGTCATTGATAACTAGGCGCACTACGTGTGCGCATACATGTAGTTTGTTCATTTCCTGCGGATTATGGTGGGCCCGTCATTTTAAGGCTAAGTTTTTTTTTGGAAACACAGCAAAGCGAACTAGTTTATTGCTAAATGCCATCAAAATCAAACACGAGCTTGACTCCTAGCCTATTTACAGCTAGCCGGCTGGTCGATATGATCAGATGATGGCTGGTGGCTGATGCAGAGCTTTTGCTTTGACTTTTACGAAGGTGTACAGTTATCATACTGTTCACAGCTGAGCGTAATGCTCAAGTAGAGTAAGTATTACAAACTAAATAAACGCTGCTACCTTGACGAAAAGCGCGTAGTACCCACTGGCAGGCCTTCCCGCCCTTTTGATACCCGGCTGCCATAGACAGGCTATCACAGAAGCTTAAGAAGGCCGTGCTATTGTTTTTGTTGTAAATCTTCAGCATAAGCCGATACGAACATTATTAAACAAAATCAAAATCAACCACCCACACAGCGTACAAAGCTTGGCAGTCACGCGCGTCCTCTTAGGGCCAGGCCGGTGGAGCGACAAATTCCGCCGCGCACATACTCGTACATCACCAAAACTTCGACTGGAAGCGTCAGCGAACGAACAGTAGTTTTGACCACGCTTCCACGCTGTTCATGCCTCTGTCCTGGAAGCAAGCCATTACACAAGGTATGAAATCCTTGTCAAGGGTTTTAAAAAAAACAATAGCATGTGGTGGGTTAATGTCAACTAAACCTGAATCCATTGCCTTCATAGCGTACACAGGTGCCGTAACCCAGAATCTTGCGGCCAGGCCGATGAGCCACCAAACCCCGGAGGCACAAAAAAGCAGCAACACGTTAGCCAAGGTGTATAGCTGTAACCATCATATGCCTGCTTTCCAAGTCGAGGTCAGTTAATTTTCAGCTTCCAATTGCTGCTCTCCAAGTGCCTGTTGAGATTTGGGCCTTCTTCTGCATCCTGGACGCTTCAAAAGAACGTTCTGACCGCCGATGCCAGCAATATTTTAGCTTCCGCTCATGAACGCTGCTGCGACCTTTTGCACTTCGTACTCTGCAGATGTTCTGAAATGCAAACCCAAAAACGCTATCTGCGCTGATTGCCCGTGATAGCGTACTTCCCCAATCAATCTCATGACCACCATCTTTGCAAGTTACTCCTCACTCTACGTACGCACGTGCGTCGATTCTTTTGAATTTGCCAATGTAACTAAAAACGTGGCATTGCCTGCAAACGTCACGCGTTGTCATCAAAATGTCTCCTTGCATGATCATTGCGGTGACCTGCAAATGGCTGCAACAATGAATGCTGTTGTTGCCGTGGCTCAACTCTTCCACCCGCAAGGGATGAACGAACGGAATATGAATGAAATACCGATGCTTGTCAGCGATCGCAGCACGTGCGCTCTCCCGTGTTTGACTTGAGTTACTCGGCGGGGGCGAGTCGGTAGCCCATCGGTGGCATATAAACATCGCCAAAAACTAAACCATAGCCCTTTATCAACTTAGTGATTGAACGGAAGAGTGCACAAAATAACAGATGGGCGGTCAATGCGAACAACGAATCTGCGCATGCGGTGATGTAAATTTTGGAAAAATCCTGGCGATGGTTTCGATGACAGCGTATTGCATTTGGCACCCTTTTTCCAAACCCCGGCTGTCGGGTCGCACTACTGGCGCAGTGGTGGGTCGCACAGCTTCGTTGTCAGCCGCCCAAATTGCGGGCGGTACTACCGCTGGTCGACACTTTGAAGTTGGATTCACGCCTCCTCCGGCTCCGGCCGCCGAGCTGAGACAAAAGCGTGAACAACTGTCAAAATGGGAAAACCTGTGTTGCCCACAGCTGTGCACGTGACGCGTGACGCGCGTAGCCTACCACGCCACAGGCAAAACAAAGATAGCGACGGACAGAGGCGCACCTTGCGAAAACAGCCGTTTATGAAGGATCCCACTCGTACATTTCTTATATCTTGAAAATATGTTGGTAGAATGCATCGTGCTAGCATTGTTTTCATCCGCATGATTCGAATAAATACCACAATATTCCTGAGAATTCTACCTCTACAAAGTGGGTGGGCAAACTCCCCTTTCTAGTTCACCTATATCGTCCAGCCGCCCAACTTAGTTCTTTGTGTGTTTGTGACTAGACAAACTCGCAAAAGACAGAATCCCAACTTGCCTATGAGAGCACGGTCTTCTCCTCTTGTACACTATTTGAAGGACCCCCCCCCCCCCCCACAGTTTTATCGGGTGTCGCGAACGCCTACTAAAAATGAAGGAAACACACAGCATGCAACAAATCTTTATCTCCTGGAATACAATACAGACACTCTGTCCATCTGTCCATCTTCAGTTAACTGGTCCAATTATCATGTCCATTATACAGCGCAGCGAAGCCACATAGAAGACACTCCAATCTAATGATATGTATGCGCGCAGTGAGCCAGAGTTGAGACCGGCGCCGGTGTCGGTCACCGACTACGTCATCATGATGTGACCCCAGCGGGCCTCTGACTAGATCCCTCATGACAGCGCGCCGTCCTCTTCATGTGAGCTCATCCCGATCAAGTCCCATTAGCCCGACCGCGGCGCCGGCTGGGGCCGACAACGACCCGCCGCCCGCCGGAGGCCAGCGCAGGCTGCCGGGCGCCGGGCGCCGCTGCGGCCGCCATAGATCCCATACACTCCGCCGGAGAGCTGCACCACGGCCGCCGAGCAGCGCTGGCCGATCACGGCCGGTCGCCCAGCAGCCGGACGCGCGCTGCCAGACGCAGCAGCGCTGGTCGGCAGCGTCAACGCGCGCTCGCCAGGCTGCTGCCCGTGCTGCTGGCGGTCAGCGGCTCTTCGCCAGGCCGCGGCTGTCGCGAGCGCAGCGCCACCAGCAGCAGCGCGGCGCACACCAGCAGCGCAGCGCCCAGCCCCAGCAGCGCGAAGCTGCTGGCTGACATGATCGTCGGCACCGTCTCCACGATGGTGACGAACTGGGCGGCGATGTCGGGCGTCGTGTCCACGGCGTTGTCGAACCAGAGCATTGGCAGGTACACGGTCGGCACGTCGTAAAGGATCCTGCGGCGCGGAATACGCGATGTCAAACCACCGGTTACGGGAGGCGTCAGTGAACAGAGGCGCGCTCACCACAGAGCCGTTTCAATAAAGCATTAGAAAGTATAACACTAACACGCTGAAAGTACCTGTCTTGCGTGCAGATTGAAACGGTTCTAAGTTGAATCGGTTTTCCTCAGCACCGTGAACGTGGCTAGCGCACCTTATTAAATGAGTTGTGGCCTGGACCCGTGGCGTGGAAGTACAAAGTGAGTGGACATGCGGGAGTGTTGGTGGACATGTGTATGGTGAGGATCTTCGGTTTTAGCACCCAGCGAAGTTAGGATTTTACTGTAAGTCTTCAGCCGAGATGTGTGTAAAGTGGAACGTGGTATCGGTGTTCACATTCAGCGTCAAGTTGCGATTTCACCGAAAGTTTTCAGGTATTGATTCTCTTCCTTCTCTCAACAGTTCTTACAGACATTCACAAACCTGAGGTCATGACGTTTTGCTATCAGGGTCACCGTTGTCAAAACAAAATCATGCCATTTAATCCTTGACAAAAAAGAAAAGAACACAGGAAAGAAGTGGGTTGATAGAGCCTTATTGGGAGTCATCAGTTTGGTCGATATGTCACTTGACCACAATTTCGGCCTATAAGGATGATTTCGAGAGTTATAGAGATCTGAGAGTTATAGAGATCTTGACGGACCTCAGTCCGGATAACAACGTTTTCGTGCCTGAAGCGCTTGCATGGGGCCCATCATTTTGAACGATATGTGGTTGCCCATCTTTTGATCTTGTCCTGAACTTCAAACAGTGACTGAAAAAATACCCCACCACTGTGAATGACTCGGCGAGATTGGCCTGCGGAGGAGGTTTAGATGACATGGGAACTGGACGCCGAATACCAAAACAAACACGACCCTTACTTCGCGAATATTTAGCCGAGTTCTCTATACCTTGTCACAAATCCGCATGAAAGTAAGTAGCTGTTACTTTACACCAAGGTTAGCCAGCTTTTTAACCTGCCTTGAACTGAGAGCATAAAAGCGCAGCCGTTCAAGGTTAAAAGGTGCAGTCTGCGTGCAGCGCGAAGTTCAGCACCGGGCCAATATCAGCAAGGCAACACACACTTCTCAACGGCCGCCGTCCTTGAGCGACGCTTTGAAAGAGAGCAGCCCGGTGGTGAGTGGCGCACGACCGATCGGTGAATAGGACCCGGTCGGCAGCTGCGGGGGTACAGAGCTGAGGGGGTAAAAAACTGAGCGGGTCGGGTCGAGAGCTGACAGGGTGGAAAGCTGAAGGACTCGAAAGCTGAGGGAGTCGAGAGATGGCGAGGGGGGGGGGGTGAGAACTGAGGGGGTCGAGCATTTAGGGGGTCGAAAGCCGAGGGACAGGAAGGGATGGGAGCTGACGGAGGCAGAAGCTGAGGGGGTCGAGAGCTGGTGGAGGGGGAGAGGGGTGGGGGTGCTTTGAGAGCTGACGGAGGCGAAAGCTGAAGACGTCGACAGAGCAGTACTCACGTCACGTCACTGTTGGGCTTGAGCAGCATGTTGATCTGGAACCGGGCGCGCACCGAGAGCGGCACCCCCGTCAGCTGTCGACAAAGCCGGCCCGCCGTCAAACACCGGCAGTGCGACACCGGACACCACGCTGGACACAGCCTCAAAGACGATCGCGGCGCACGCAGGCACGCCCTTGCTCAGCGCCCCAAACGACATGGCTGGCCGACCACCTCCCAGGCCTAGGCACCGCCCAGCACAGAGTTTTTCCGACGTCCTGGAGGAGTGGTCCATCCTCCTGTTGTCGTCCGCGCAAGCCGCGGCACCGCCGCCCGGTCGCCGTCGTCACGTCCCCCCGGGACGCACAGCGCGTCCTGGGCCAACTCACCAGAGCTGGCGGCACCACCAGCCGCGCACTCACCGGGTCCTGTGACATCACCAGCCACGCACTCACCAGCTCCAGTGACATCACCAGCCGCGCACTGACCGGCTCCAGTGACGACACCAGCCGTGCACTCACCGGCTCCAGTGACGTCACCAGCCGTGCACTCACCGGCTCCAGTGACGTCACCAGCCGCGCACTCACCGGGTCCAGTGACGTCACCAGCCGCGCACTCACCGGCTCCAGTGACGCCACCATCCACGCACTCACCGGCTTCAGCGACGTCACCAGCCGCGCATTCACTGGCTCCAGTGGCATCACCAGCCGCGCACTCACCGGCTCCAGTGACGTCACCAGCCGCGCACTCACCGGGTCCAGTGACATCACCAGCCGTGCACTCACCGGCTCCAGGTCGATGTGAAAGTTGTGGAGCGACTCGTTGGGCCGCTGGCCCACCGTCTGGCCGATGACGGCCGGGTCGGCGTACAGCATGTGCGGGAAGGAGACGAAGGCCGGCACGCCGAACCGACACAGCGTCTCGTTCAGCAGCCCTGCGGCCGTCAGCGGCGCGGTCACACGGACACGATCGGACGGACACGGACACCGGACGCGGACATCACCGGGCACGGTCACCATCCGACAAGGACGCCGTCAGACGAAAAACACGAGATATGGACGTCACCGCGCAACATCAACGCCGGACATAGGCATCTGGGGCGTTCTCCCTCGGGCGCAGATCACTGTACGCACGGTCATCACTGGGCATCGGTCACGGCCCACAAGACACCGTTTATGGCACACAGGACACCGGCCATGGAGCACAGGACACCGACCACGCCCCACAGGACACCAGCCACGGCCCGCAAGACAGCGGTCTAGTCCACAGGACACCGGCCACGGCCCACAGGACACCGGCCACGGCCCACAGGACACCGGCCACGGCCTACAGGAGACCGGTCATGGCCAACAGGACACCGGTCATGGCCCACAGGGCACCGGTCACGGCCCACAGGACACCGGCCACGGCCCACAGGAGACCGGTCATGGCCAACAGGACACCAGCCACGGCCCACAGGGCACCGGTCATGGCCCACAGGGCACCGGTCATGGCCCACAGGGCACCGGTCATGGCCCACAGGGCACCGGTCATGGCCCACAGGACACCGGTCACGGCCCACAGGACACCGGTCACGGCCCACAGGACACAGTCGTGATGAAGCGTAAACATGCGGCCAAGAGCCAAGAGCTTGACCAAGACCTCGCACGTTTCCCCACCTTATCATGGGCAAATATCCATCGATGGACATGGTTGATGATACTGATCGCTGCCCGCATCACCTACTTCGTATGCAGCGCTGCGGTTTGCCATCACTTGAACCAAGAACCCCCTACTCGCAGTCGCCTGCTTCGTAAGTTACTGTCTCAGCCCTACATCCATCACGTAAGGGCTTTGCCTATTTATCATCCTTTGCATGCCAACAAGTCACCACATATGTCGGGGGCATGTCGGCGTGTTGTGTGCCAGCATTTGCACACGGTCAGGGCCTTGATGACGACACAGTCAGAAGACGGTCCCCGCCCAATCAGGTCGCGCCGCAGACGTGCCGGCATGTCACCGCGAGACGTGCCGGCACGTCACAGCGGGACGTGCGCGACACGGCGGAGCGGCACGGTTGGGACACGGCTGGTCCGAAGGGAGAGCGGGCCGGCACCGTCACACCGACGTCGTTCGTATGAACTGGATGGATTTGCGGCACGTCACCAAGTCGATGACACGTAACATACCAGGAGCACGGGTCGGAGGAAATTACGCGACAAGCGGTTGTTTTAACATCGGCGCCGTTTGTAGTAGCCCACACAGGAGGGGATGGCGCGCGCCGAGGCATACATCAAACGGGCGAGAGGATGTATGTTTGACAGGTACAGGGAGCTTTGACTAGCGTTTTAGCTGAGACACTTTTCTCGGAGACACGCGTCAGCAGTAGTCCTGGCGCAAACAACCCAGTGTCTGACCGTGAACGCCGACAGGCAAAATGTCAGCGGCTACATCGAAGGTGCAGTAATGGGAATGTCCGACTTCTGCAAATGACAGCGACAGGGCACCGACCAATCGCTGGCTTCTTTTGCAATCGGCGTCGCCTGCATCACTATGAAAGGACGGTCGAAGTCGTGGTGTGCGTTAGAAAGCCGACAAACATGTCTGACGTCGCTGAGGACCTTTAAGTCCTCCGAGACGATCCTTTCAACAGACACGTAAAAGTATTCGCAACAAAACCATCATGTCGAAACGCACTCTAAGAGGCGAAACGTAGTCAGGCACATTAAAGGGACCGCACCTAAATAAAAAAATAGTTTCTCAACTACGTTATCAGTAATTTACGACATACCCTGTGCTAATTCTCATCACTCTATACTCTCCGTCTCATCATATTCCCTCATACTCATCATTCTCTCCGTCTCATGCTCATACTCTCGTCATACTCTCATCACTCCATACTGTCCGGAGGTTTATATGTACGCTGCACAAATATCGCACATTTTAGGCTTAAAGCGGGTTCCCTGTGAGGCGAGAATGCAGAAGTACCTTTTATTACGTAGAACGTTGGCAAAGGGGTTGTGGGTGAAGACTAAAGAGACCGGGAGCCTTCACCTGGCTTAAAAACAAACCGAATTCGACCACTTTTTTGGCGGTCCCAATCCCTTTCCGACGAGATAGGAAATTGCATCGGATTGAGACAACTACCAGCGACGATCAATGAAGTGCAAACGACTAAGCAATAGGCCCTTGCACGGGCACACACCTGCAGGGGGGCATTCTCCGTTGCAGAAACACCAGTTGTCGGGGTTCGTATCGGGCCTGGCGAACATCATCTCATCAGCCTGGTACCTGTTACCGCCTAACTCGTATTTGGATGTCGGCTCTTTGTAGGGAACGCGGAGTGACCTGCAACATATCATAGAGCAGCAATGTTAGAGAAGAGGCTGCAGCGGCGTCTGCGCCCGACTCAGAGCAGCCAAGCCGGCTGCATCGTTGCTATCTAGCCCCTACCACACGCCATACAGGTGCAACTGTGCTCAGCGCCACAAAGGTTCGATCTTGCCACACGTTACCGCACGCCTGACCTGGACAAGACAGACCCGACTCGCACCTCTGAGCCGGCTCGAGCAGGACCCCAACCAACACCCCGCCCGGCCAGCGTCACAGTACCCCACCGCGACCGCACCCCGACACCCGCCCACCAGCAAGCGGCCGTACCGGCAGATGTCTGTCGAGTACAGCTCGATGTACGTCTTGTCGAGCCGCGGGTGGAAGAGCTCGCCGGCCGAGCCGTTGACCATGTTGCAGGGCGCGTCGAACGCCGTCGTAGTGTTGGTGTTGTTCCAGAAGTGCAGGTCACCCAGCTGGGACACCGTCCGGCCCGTGTCCATGTTGAACACGCCGTCGTAGTAGTTGGTGCCGTTCCTCTGCGGACACGCGGGTTACGGTCGGTGGAGGGCGGTATGCGACTGCACGCGACGCCGACAGCAGGCCGAAACGGTACGCCGAACACCCCGCGATCCAGCTGAAGGGCCGCTGGGCGGCGGGCGACACACGTCAATGGGTTTGGTATACACGAACAGCAGGAGAAGTAGCAGAATAACGCTGCGTCACGCAATAACATGACGTCTAGACGCATGTCCAAAACAGGTGCACCAAATCAAAAGTTTTCATCTTTCCAGCGTTCAGGACATATTTGACTTCAAAAGGTTTCGTTAAAAAATCAACAATACATATCCTCCGGAAAACAGGCGCTGCCTTAAAATACCCTCAACGTTTACGCATCACGCGTAGTCTCGATACACGTAGATACAGGAGTTATAGGATGTGACATATTTCTTCGTTTGGCCACATAATGTGCCTACATTCCGCACCACATACGACAGAACGGCTGTTTGCGGTACCACAAATGATACATGACCAACCTGCTTAAAATGAAACCGAGGTCCAGGAACGACACAAATAGATAAGCACCTAAACCTGAGCCTGAGTCACTAGACCGCAAGTTTCGCAAGTGTAATTTATGTTAACAAGTTGTGATTACCAGCAGCGTCGCAAATCGCCATTACTCCCCTACTGAAGTCTCCACAACCGCCTCTGCAACACCCCCCCCCCCCCCCCGCCAGACCGCCATCTTTGGCCAGCTGACGGTTAACCTTCTGCATTTCGGTTGGGTCGGACGACGCGCACGGTAAATTCCATGAGCCACTGTCATCGAACGAAGCGGTCAAAGTTTCCATATGGCTTCCACTGTGGCTGTGGGGCACCCATCGCTCGACCAGTGACTGGAGCAGCACGAGGCCAATTGCAAAGAGGCGCTTGCATCGGTATTCACTCACAGCTGTCTAAATGCGGCGTTTGTGTCTCACTTCACCTGCACAGCACAAGCACCCTTTGAACCGATAGTTCAGTAATAATTTTTCCACATCTTACGAAACATAAGACTACAAACTTGAATTTCAAATAGCTTCCCATTTTTCCAAGCTTTCAATCATCTTAATCTTTACGATCTGTTAAGTATTGGATGCCGGGTTCCACATTGTGGATCGCTGTCCAATACTACTGGGGCCCAACCCGACACGAGGCGGGGGAGGCAGTTAAGGATTGAGAGGGCATGCTCCCCCCCCCCCCCCCCACGGGATACCAAGTTTCATCCCTGCGTACAAGCTGTTCCATTGTCCGACCAAAATGTCGTCCACAGCGCGTCCGTCGAGCAAGTGAGCAGCAGCCGACCTTGCTCGCGAGCTCTGACTGCGGCCGCCGCGACCCTGCCCACACCGCGGCGGGCGCGTGGGCTCTAGTGGCGGAAGCGGTAGCGGCGGCGGCTCCAGTGACTCATTATCACGCGGTCCGACCCGGTCGCTGCCGCGCGTGCCTGTGTGTTTGTGTGGGCGGTGTGTCGGGCTAGTGGGCCGACCAGGCCGACAGGGAGCCCCGTCACCGGCCACGGCCGTCAGGTACGTCGTCGTAACGGCCTCCGAGTGGGCGATACCGCCCGTCAGCTGCTAGTGTCGGCTGAAGTGGGGCGAAGACAGTCAAGTGGAGATGGAGCGGCTAAGAGCACTGTCCTCCACAAAACCCAACGACCCTTCACTGTCACAATTCCGCGGTTGGCAACCCAATGCATCCGGCGCATGGCCGATAGCGCAAACACAGTCTTCGTGCTCTGGGTGAGAACACCCACGAGAACAACGTCCATATCCACACGAGCGCACTGACCGTTGTCGTCGACCTGACGACGGCAACAACCCTGTCCCCTGAAACCCTGCCGCCAACGGCACCGTTGTCTGCCGCCGCCGTCCCAGACATCCACATCATCCGCCCCGCTGGCGACTACCAGGTCGCGCCAGCACAGCACGATCAATCACCACCCGCCAGCCGGGACACACAGCAGCCGCCCAGCTGGCGACGCGCCGACTGCCAGGTCGCGTCGGCACAGCACAATCAATCACCACCCGCCAGCCGAGACACACAGCAGCCACGGCGTGGCGTCACCAACCGCCGCAGCCTGGTGGCGACCCGTCACAGGCAGGCGTGACGCGTGACGTGCTTCGCGGGTGAAGAGAGGACACGCTGCGAGCTAAGTCACCAAATTAATGGAATTTTTATCACGCGGGTGAAGAGAGGCCACGCTCCAAGCTAAGTCACCATATTAATCGAATTTATTATCACGTGCATGGGTACTGTAAACGCTTTGACTGCGTGGTAATATAGTGCTGATATTCGAATCACTTCAACGTGAAAAATGCATTAAGGTAATTTTGTGCGCAATTTTCCTTTCAACATCATAATTCCCTGAATTAGTGGCTCTCCATGCGCTAAACTTCGCGGCACCGTGCGCCGAACTCCAAAAGCTGAACTTTACGGCGCACGTGCGCGCCGAGATTTCGGCCGCGATGTCGCTGCCGCGCCGGACATGTTCGGCGGAACGTGTATTTTTCCAGTCTGGGCGGGATGGCCTTGATGCGTCAGTATCGTGCCTTGATGCGTCAGTATCGTGCCTTGATGCGTCAGTATCGCGCCTTGATGCGTCAGCATCGTGCCTTGATGCGTCAGTTTCGTGCTTTGACGCGTCAGTATTGTGCCATCAGTGTCACGGATTGACATCTGCGGTGTTCACCGCAATTAATTACTTTCGATGGCAAGCTAATCAAATATTCCTCCGCTCCCTCCCCTCCTCCGCAGGCGCCCGCCGCACAGTCGCAGCGAGCCGTGGGGAGGGTGGACCCTCTGCTAGTACACTGCCGCCTCAAGCCCGCTCCCGCATGGTACATAGTCAAAACTCGTTACCAGGCAAGGGACGCCGTTCCTGGGTTGTTTCCAAATATCACCCCCCGACCGCTTCGCCAAGCGACAGTGTCCCCAGAGACGGGTCATGAAGAGCACGTTTTTCACTGAGAGCTGTACTTGCTATGGCGAAGCTGAGCTATGGCGCCTTAATTATGTACTTAACATTATGAACTATTTCTCCAGAGCTATCAAGGACGCCTCCAGTCCGTTGTACTCCTTTACGTGCTCTTAAAATCGGCAGTTGGTGTACACTCCAGCCGCCCGTTGTGCATTTTTGCGTGCTCTCCAAGTCGGGACTTTGTATACAACCGAACGCATACTGCAGACAGTGCTCCCATCTAGCTGGATGAAAATCGACTGAGGTCTGACCAGCGCTCCCAGCGTCGATTCCTCCTGCGGCCACTGATAAGCGAATTCATGAACGCACACATGACTGCATGTGTGCGGTCATGACATGACATGACAGACAGTCATGACATGACTACAGGAGCACGGCTTTCCTTCGTGCTTGGGAAACAACTTAGCAAATTACTGGCTCACTACGCTCGGCCTCTGCATAGTCATTCTGAGCAGGCAGCGACTTCCTGTGAGAGCCAACCGTACTTATGTTTTCTTTTAATTATGACGTCTCCGACGCCACCAAACGCGCAAGGGTAGAGACACCGAAGCGGACCATACGCGAGTATAAGCGATAACTTTTGGACCAGTCCTCAGCAAGCTGCTGACCGGGACTTCCATGAAAAAACCAAAAGTTCAAACAAATTAGACTTTCTGTTTACTCGCCCCCAAACAGCTTTGTAAACGGGCGCATACAAAAAGAAGCCCACTCGGAGTTATTGCGTCATCCAGCACGAGTCTGCTAGCACGCAACCACGTTCAACTATGTACGCAGTCAGATTAAGAATATGAAACACAGTGGTATTCTACTGCACTATCGTCATCTCTGCTGACGTAAGGTCACGCCAGCTCAGATCAGGTCACGTTGCACGCTGTACCTACCACGTTGCTCAAAAACGTGTCCCACTCTCCAATCAGCACAGGGCTAAGCTGTTGACGGTTGTTGCCAGGCAACGTGCGACCACACAACTGTATCCCGAGTGATGGTCATGAGCCTCCACCAGGCCAGGTGACGGCTCCCATACGAAGAATCCGACAAATCAAGATAACTGATTGTGCGTTTATCTTCGACAAACGGAAACTCACGCCGTAAAACCAACCGAACTTGTCGAACGGTATGGAGATGTTGACCAGGTACTTGAGCACGGACGCGGCATCCAGTAGCGGGTCGTCGTAGCCGTCGAACAGGAACTCACGCACCGTGCGCGTTACGAATGGTTTTGTATCCACGGAGTTCACCATCTCGTTGAACATGACCTTCATGAAGTCGTTCAGGTCCCGGATCAGGGCGGCGGCCGCCTGCAGCGAGAGATGCGTGTCTCGGGTCAGGGTGAGAGCGACCCCAGTACGACAGGCGCGTGTCTCGGGTCAGGGGTGAGTGAGGCCCCAGCGCAAGAAGTGCGTACCTCGGGTCACGGGTGAGCCCGGCCCGAGTACGACAGGCGCGTGTCTCGGGTCACGGGTGAGCGAGACCGTAACACAAGCGCGTGCTAACACAAGGTCAGGGGTGAGCCCGGCCCCGTTCGGGGCACCAGTGGCGGGCGACGGTCGCGGAGAAACGTCTCGAATCCAAATATTACGGAGGCGTGGGGAGAGGGCACGCAGTAAAGCACAGGGGCTCGCAGACCTCAGCCGGCTGAAGCAGGCCTACGATCATGCCGGAAATGTGGAGCATAGCTGCATGGACGGCGTGCTGAAGCGCCATGTTGGGCGCATTTCCGGAATACAAATGCCAGCATACCGTTTGTTTTGGTAAAACAGTATGCCATCGGAGAGCTGAGCGTTGCGGGCTGCCCCTGCTCGGCTGTCCGCGGATATCATCTGATCAACTGGGCATATCGGGGGCGATGCTGTAGGACAGGTCAACCATGCGTCGTGTGCTTCGGTGGGAAAATTTCAGAAGCTCTCACAAAGCCGCTGACATTAATTACTAAGCGCATGTACCGAGCAGTGCAAATATGCTAATTACTTCTTGGTGTTTACATATATCACGCATTTCACATGTATCTCTCGACGTGTGAAAATGCCTCCGAGACGATGAAGTACTGGCCTGCGCGGACGGGCGGCGTGGGAATACAAATGAAACATATGCCGTGTCGGCTGAGAACACGCATGCTGCAGACCGCACGGGCTGATTTCACCGCGCACCCTACTCGGCATCCCACTGGCTACCGTTCCGGGATGAGTGGGTGAATGGGATTTAATTGAAGCCGAAATGCAGCACCGGCGGACAACCTCACAGTGTGGTGTGTCCGGTTCCGCAGACACCTTGTGAAGAGTGCAAGTTCAGCCACGAGCAAAAAACCGATCAGACTTCGGTGACGAGGCAGGTTTTATGCACCACACCATGGCAACAGGACTTCTCTTATCTTATGGGTCCTCGTCCGGCGTTCAGTGAAAAAGAATAGTTAAGTTTTTATACCTACAACGTTATGGCAGCTCTTGCCCATATCTCGCGGGCCGGGCAGACGGGACCTGCTGAGCGCGGTTGGCCGCACCGCACCACCACCGGTGGCACCAGCTCACCAGCAACGGCACGTTGAGCGTGGTGATGTTGTCGTCCCGGCTGCCGACCGACATGTCCGGCTCGAAATGCCACGTCTTGATCTGCATGTACGTCACCGTGCCGTTGTCGTTCCAGGTCATGTTCACCTTCAGGTGCTTCTCGCTGTGACGGGGGGTTCGGCTCGTCAGCGGCGGGACAACATCAGCAGCTGGCGGGCCCGCGGCTCGCCACCAGCGGCGCCGGCTCGCGCCGGTCCGGTCCTGGCCGCCGGGACGCGACGCCCGCCCTGTCAGCAGGCCGGCGGCTGGGCTCAGGTGCCCGCCGGCCGGCCGGACCGAGCGTCGCGGCGGCGCCAGCCGGGAGCCGCCCATCACACAGGGGTCGTGCGGGGACGGCAGCGCAGCCCGGGGGAGTGGTATCTCGGCCGCCGCTATGGCATCGTACCGTCTTGTTTCGAGAGATCGCGCCGGCCGAAAAGACCAAAATATCTTGCGTTATGAGCATGGAAACCAATCGTTCCCGGATATACATCGCGCCTTTATTTTCGCCAACCATGTACACTATTTCAGTTGTAATATTCTCGCACAGTTTTGGTTTCAACATGGACCCTGCTGAAGGCTGCTTCTACCGCGTGCATGCACTGAGGTTCAATGCTCGTGGCAGTGCTATTGCCACGTTGATTCCGTTTCCACGTATACGCCATACCGACATGTCGTCAAGGTCATTTAGAGGGTTTACCACCACCGTACGCAGCGGCTATCACCAGAGAAAAAGGGCATCTTAAATATACAATCGCGCTTGGCCATGCACTCTACATTTTGTATTTTTAAAGAGTAATACCAGTCGCATTACGAGAGATAAAGCCTGGCATGGACACGGCTCACAAAATACATCTACTGCGGTCCAGGAACAAGACCATTATTTTTCCTGTACATATGACACGCTATTAAGAGGCAACAGGAACAAAGCTTAAGCTGCGCTGCCAGTACGCCAGGATTGTCTCATCCGGCACGACTGGCTTTGCAGGAACCGGCCGGAGAAGCCAAGGCCGGCCAGGCTCATGCCGCTCGGCCGGCGGGACTCCGAATCACGCCTGCAATCTTGAGTCAAATCTTACCTTTGAAATCCGAAATTCCCCTGCGATAAAGTCTCACGAGAGGTACATATGAAACACCACCCAGACATTTCCCAGCAGCACTGGTGTTGTGTTCCTGACACGCGAGCCTCGCCCGACGGTCGTCATTCGCGAGCCTTCGCCGGACGAGACAGCCTCACAGTCTACTGCCTCCAGCTCCACGCATCCTAAACCGACATTCTTCCCTTGGCTCCAGACGGAACAGCAGCGGACTTTCCCCTGTCAGTGTACGGGTCGGTGGGGAGACCGTGCGGGAGGGCCTGGCCGTAAAGAACCTTGTGTGTGGTATTTGACCACCACCTGAGCTGGGACGCCCACGTCAGTGATACCGCCCGTAAGCGCAACGGCCCCCTGATCGGTCTACGCCACTCGAGACGTTTCCTCACACAAAGAGCGACGCTGACCATCGTGCTGCGTCTCGTTATCCCGTGCGCGAGGTACTGCGTTGCAGTTTTTGGCCAGGGTCAGCTGTTAACGCCACTAGACTGCGGATAGTCGCTTACTTCGCTGTCAGCTTAGTTACTGATCCCCGAAAGCATGACCATGTGTCTCGCACGGAATGTCCTGCACCTTGCCACGCCTAGCCAAATGTGCGGTGTGCAAACTGTTATCGCTGCGCTCAAAGCCCGTGACCGAGAGGGCCTGCGGATCTTACTTGTTTGCAGCACACGCCGGTGCGCGGACCTGTGATCGGTCTAACCGCAAATCTAACTCACTCCTATCGAAGAGTACAGCGTTGTTTATCGCGCTCAGCAGTCGATGGAGAAGATCGTCGTTCCCTGTGCTCACGGCAAGGTGGGCAGCGTACGAGTGTATAACGCACGTGTCCGGTTCGGTCCTGGCGGGAAATATAAGAGCAGCACTTGAGCAGAATTTATTAATCGAAGCTCCATCGACCTATGTCTCTCATGAATAAAGGATCGTGCTGCACTTTTCGGGAACCTAAGATGGCATTTTGGGGTGATGCAGGAGGTGACTGGAAGACGGAGAAGTGCCGAATCCAAACGTGAGTTACGAGCCAAATGTGACAATTGGACACCAGCCCAGTTCACCGGCCTTGTGTGGCTTCGTCACATCCGTCAAAATCACAGTATCGTACCCCAATACAGCGCTGCGTTAGTGGCGCAATATGCAGCCTACAAGACTTATCAGCTAAAATTTAAACTGCCTGAAATTGCCAGAAACGACCGAATACGAGGGCCAAATGCTTGCTTCATTTTACTATGCCTCAGATACGAGGAGTAAACAGGAGCGTGGCGTCAAGTGTGACATGAAGGTTTTGAGTGGTGCTGACATGTTCCGGCCCCGTTACATTAATTTAATATTTTACGACGCTTCGTCAAATTCATGTAATATTTACGAGGTTCTGTGACATGCCTGTAATACTTGATCGTCAAATACAAATGATACACTTTAAAAGGTTACTTAATAAAGGTTTTTTAAAGGACATCAGCCATTTCGGGAGCCACTATCTCAGGACGCATACCCAAAACTACATGCGCACGCTTTATGAGACAACAACCATTTCGAGGCGCCCCAGACTCCGTGTGTTTTGCACGCAAACCCTTTCACATTGGTAAACGTGGTCCTCTTGTCCACATTCCTGTCTATCTCACTGACAGCTGCAGAAGAGTGACTGACGGAGACCGCACTCGCCGACGGTCCGCTGACGGAGACTGCGTATGCCCCCTTTGTTGACCGCATACGCCCACAGACATACCGGGTGACAGTTGCCGTTAGCTGAGACCAGGCTGGAAGCATCCGATGCCAAAACGTGAACCAAATGCGTAAAACCAAATGCGCACCGACATCCTGCAGTGCATAACATTTTCCCCTATAAAGCTTGGCCACAACTGTGGACACACTACCAACACTAAGCATTAATGATGCTCATGGAACCACTGAAAAGTATTTGTCATCAGCTGTACGTACCTACATACTCTGCAAACAGTCCTCTTCACAGCAACAATCATGGCCGACCTGTAGGCCTCTATCTCGGCCAACGCTTGAGCTCGCGGTCCTGTAACGTTGCTACTTTTGGCGCGCGCGTTTGGAAAGACACTAATCTACAGCGCATAAAGCCACGGCCAGAGACCGCGTACGATTGGGTGCTCCGGAGATAGTTTAGGACTACAGTTTTCAATACAATTCGGCTACTACAGACTGCCGCAATGCTCTCCAGTACAGTAACTTTGAAACCCAGTTCGTTAGTTATTTCGTGGAGATTTTGTGCACCCACGTAAACTTATTCAACGTTTAAGTGATGCAATCGATGCCAATCTGGCAACATAAAAATCAGGACGATCGCTCTTTTAACTACAATCCTTAAGATTTGGGGAACGAATCTTAGAAACCAGATCTCATATCTTAAACGGGGCGCGTCTATCTAGTGATATCTACAGTCAAATATGTGGGACCATGTGTGGGACCTTTGCGTTTCTGATGTCAGCACATCCGTGATGAACAGGACGTCGCAGCACTCGTGCTGCCACAAAATGCAGATAACATAACAGTGGAGTGTTTCATAAAAAGGTGTTGACTAGGGTGACTGAGCAGTTAAAATGTATGAGATCTTCCTCAAAAGTACGCCGCCAAGCGAGTTTTCCACGGATTTGCCCACTCGCTTCGCAAAGTTGGGGAGGCTGGAGTTTAAGTTTGGGGGACTACTATTGATAAGGAAACTACAACCCGGCAAGCTGAGGTTGTTAGTTCAATGGTCACGAACTCAGTGCACGTGAACATGACTTGTGACATGAAAGAGAGAACGCAAGTCACTAGTGAGAGAAATGACGAATGATAGCGCCCTGCCCTGATACGCCATTTTTTGTGAAGCGGACTGATAGCAGGGGTGGATACTCCGCCCCCCCCCCCCGCTGCCGTTTCCAAACTTAGAAGGATAAAGTCTAGCGTAAAACGGCCGAAGATTGGTCTCGACGACATGGCTCGATTGGTGAAACTTTGTTGTTGGTAGGCCGACATTTGACCTAATTATGTCGGGTCATAGGTCACATTTTCCGCAGCATCGAGCGTGTTCAGCTTTACATGGTCATGGTTACCAGATCATGCCCTATAGCGGCAGGAACCACAAACAGGCGTGTTTATTGTGCAGTTCTGATTATAACGGCGGGTAGTTTCATGTGTTTTAGCACGTGCTTTTGACGCAGGGCTCCGTTAATGCGCCAGTGCAGACCCAGCGTGTGCGGTCCACGACATCGTCGATTGTCACCCACCACCCGCGCCGGCCGAAGACAGCCGTGGAGCGTTACACTGTGTTGTACTGTAGCTCGATTTAGACCACATCCTCTTGCACTTGAAGTCAGCGTGGGAGAAGGAAACGCTGGACGCTTACCGGTTCATTGGTGGCGCACCCATGGGTCGGACTGTTTCAAGATCTGCTTGTAGGTTGTAACTGGTACATTCATCTACATTGTGCGGTGAGTTTCACGTCTTTCTCTGCTCTAGTTACTGATACCTGACATCAAACTGTGAATCGCACGACAGCACGATTGCCTGTATGCATCAACCCACAGTTGCGCCAGTAAGATTGTCCGTTTTCGTCCTCCTTCAGTATCGCTTAGCATCGTGTCGACGTGACGCCCAAGTGCCAAGACGGCAGCCTGGTTCTAACCATGTTCTTCAGCTCTTTGACGATGGCTGCAAGGACATAAACCCGCCAGAAGTGTTGCTGGGCGGGTCGGTCCCGATCGGCGCGGGCCGCGGAAGCTACCCAATGCCCGGTTAGTTGGCCCTCGGACTCGCTTGGCCGGCTGCTTTGATGGCAAATACTGTTGCGGTCTGATGGAAGGCTGCGCTGTACGGTGCCACCTATGATGCCTGGAGCACCACTCTCAACCGTGGTGATACTTATTGTCAAATCTCGTTCATTTTCTCTAGACTTCTGCAACACAAAGCCCTTTTGCTTTCCGTTCATAAACGCAGTTATTAACAGAGGTAGAGACAGGGAGCGATCGCGTGCCTGCGATCAAGATAAATGCACGTCGTTGCGACGCGTAAAATCCCTATGTACTTGTGTGGCGCGCAAGGTTCCATGACTTGAGAGCACTTCAAATAGGACCTTTCTCCCGCACATGCGTTTGCCAGGGACCTTGTACCCCTCAGAAAAAAGCCCGCAGCAGCTCTCCACCAAATCGACGTCGCTCGACAATCACCGACAGTGACCCGCCTGAGCACTCGAGACCCGGCCGGTGGAGTGGGCGCTTTCATGAACACTCATTCGGGGCCTGATCCCACTGCTGCCTGCGGGTACTAAGTCGAGACTTGTGACGCTCGAAGTGACCCTCCACAGGAACCCAGGTTGCAAGTTCGAGCACGGACATGCCGCCCATCACGCAAAAACATTATTGAAACCAACGCTGAGTCAACATCGCCGGCACTGCTGACGAAACATGAGACGACGAGCTCACCCCCATATGAAGTGGACAAGTATAGCGTGAATGGCCTCGCTACATAAGGCAACGTCTACCACCCTACTATTGATACACGTTGCCACGCATGACAACGATATAGAACTGGAAGAACTACGGCTTTCTTCCATGGGGCAATCCTGCAAGCTACTAGCTTGGACTTCCTATGATAAGACGGTAATCAAGGCAGATATAATGCAAGGGCATTTATCGGAATAGTTGGATTTGGTTTTAAGATTGAAAATTGGTCCGACCTGGATCTCAAAACACGACACCACCAGACATTCATCTTCAAGGAAACTATGGGCAAACCATAACATATGATCGCATAATTTACGGACAAGTCTCACCTCACCTACCAAGGATTTCTGACACAAAACAGGCCAGCCCGTCCCACTGCAGCGTTGAATGACAGCTGACCAGTTAGTGGGCTCACGCGCCCCTCCAAGGTACCGCATTACGGTCCGCTACCCGGCTCGGACACTCCTGGCAGCGGACAGCTCCAGAGCTGAGTAGCCGAGACCATGCACGGCGCCATACTGTGATGGGCAATGCCAAGCTGGACACCGGGGCGCGCTGCGGTTCTGTTCCGGCTGAATCCCTGCTCCAACAATTCTTACGGTTGCCGTATTTATTAACGGATGCAGTGCTTTCCTGTACACCACATTCTCGGTCTTACCCTCCTGGAGCAGGATGACCTGGTCGGCGGCCGTTCATTTTGGAGCTGCCAACATAAAACTGAACCCGGAAGAACACTGGCTCAGCCATGTTAAGATCCGTCACCTTCAGGGATTGGTCTTGACTCTTGCTCATAGTAATGGTGTAGGTCTGGTTGACACGACTTTGGATCCGTTTGAGTTTTAAGCGCACGTTAGACGAGATTTCCGGGATTCTCGAGATGAAGACCCTGGCACCCCTGGCCTCGCCTGTCGCGGTGGTCGCCAGTCCAAAGTTTGGGGATCCACTTTCGTACGAGCATGAGTGCCTTGATTGAACACAAGTTGTGTGATGGCATTCCTGATCGCTCTCGGTTGCCAGAAGTTCCAATGGATATTGCAAAGCTTCCTCTGGGTGTGGACCAGTGTTCACCGACTTGCAGATCCTTGTCTCTCGACGATGCTCCCATATTATCAGCGGCAAAGTCCTTCGGCGCTAGGACGACCTGCTGAGCCAGGCCGGACCAGTCGGATCACTGAGCCGGGTCGCACCTTAGTGCCGTTCTTCCAGGTCCGGAAGACCTTGGCCAGGAAGCCGTTTACAAATTCGACGTTTTCGCCAGAAGGAAGCTCGGTTTGTCTGTCTAGTCTCGGGATCTGGCCTGTGCCAACTCGTAGTTGTTGGATGATGAACTGTCCTACTATTTATTTGTTTTGGTGCATATATCGTGGTGGCGAGATACTTAGTGCTGCTCTTTTCGCTACTTATATTCGTCACGCTGTGATCCCAGTGACGCCACGGATCAACAATCTTGTAGGAATCCCTTTTTGGAACCATCCTTAATCTCAGTGGGTTCTTCTGATCGCTGTATGCCGGTGTTAACTCCAGCCGGCTCTTCACAACAGGCCGAAACGAAATCAATGAGCACACGGCAGCCGATATTGCCCGCTTCTCTAAGTTTGAAATGACGCGGAGTCGACCGTCGCCAATGCTTACCCATGGGGCGGGTTTCATCGAACCGCGCCACGCATGGTAGCCCGGCGGGCACCGAAGTGTGACATAACCCTTTTCCTCGCCACGCTGATTTAATTCAAATCAGTTGAGGTTTCGCGGGCTAGCGCCGACCGTTCTCGAGTTTTTAGAGAGCAAACGACAGAATTTCTCACGCATTATGTACGATGTGCTACTTGTGCAATCTAATACTTTTAATGCAACACTACACATCGCGAAAAAGTTGTAGCATTAGTGGTGGATGCATGATTAAAATCTGATATGGAGATAACAAAATATTGTCAGTCACATTGAACACAAGTGCATTCGCCAGCCACGTGATCACATGCGTGTACGCACGCATAGGGCACGCCGCAGCATCGTGTCAGTAAGCGGCACTCACCTGTACACGTATGGCCCCAGCTCCTCCAGAATTGGTTTCGCCTTTTTACCAATGACGTCATCAGCATTCGTGACGTTCCAGAAGTAGAACTTCATGTAGATGGGGACGTCCATCGTGTGCCAGAAGCTGTAGCCCTCCGACGATGGTGTCAGCTCCAGCTTCTACGCAAGTACCAAACACGAGCGATGAAAACGAAACAGTTCCAAAACATGTGTGGAGCTACAATAAATTAGTGTTATCTGAAAAACTTGAAAAATGGGACATTTATAGACTACCGCCATGCGTGAAAGGTGCCCCACCGCACATCCATAAACTGCGGAAGACAGTACAAGGATGTGCGGTGCGGCACACACGAGCGGCGCCGGGTGCCTCCAGCTAGCGCAGCATTTTGAAGCGTTCCGACTGCAGACGCTTCTTACACACCAAACGTCATCAAACGCACTCTCTTGCACAGCAGGCTTCTCATGCAGCCCTCGCTTTGCACCAACGTAAACATATCCGTTCATACAGATGAACGGACAAGATATGAGCCGCGAACGCCGGGAGCGTAATACCAGCTAGCGAGGAAAACCAGACCCCGCGAATAGCACGCCAGCCGGCTGGCTTAGTCATACATGCAACAACGAGGAAGATGGCACACGCACCGCGCCCTGTCGCAACAGGGCGCGCGCACAATTCCCCCGCCAGTGACAGAGCCGGTTGTCTGATGTGATCGCGCCGCACGACAGCGCGGCCCACACGACAGTCACGCGGCTGCCGCTCCGCCGCCCAGGGGCTCCGGTCACCGCCATGACCCTGCCGTGGAGAGACAATGGGGGGGGGGGAGGGGGAGGGGGAAGGGCAACCCATCCCATCAAGCCTGGAGTTTGGCTCCACAATCTCGCCACGGCCAAACTCCCTCTCTCAAATTTTGATTCCTACGCGGTCTGGACTTGCCCCGTACTAGAAACAAAGCTGAGGCGGAGGCTGGGTCGAGGTGTGCATGTCCGTGAAGGGGGCGGCGGTCGCGCAACTAAACCCAAATAAACGCTCGGGGCGCGCCCGGCACCGACCTTGTCGAGGATTACGTCGAACAGCCGCTGGTGCAGCGTGACCGCCAACACACCGCCCAGCAGCACCAGGGCGCCGCTGACCGCCAGAGCGCGCGCGCATGTTGCAGAGGCCACCATGCTGTGCGTCCAACGCCGGTTACTGCTCCGCTGCTGCGCCCGCTTGCCGCCCGCGTCCGCTGACTGATCCCGCGACCCGAGCGCCCCTGGTGGCCGCCGCCTGAAACCGTGGGCGCCGGGCAGCTGTTGAAGCGATCTTAGTCCTGTGGGGCGGGCGCGCGTGACGCAGACGGTACGCAAGTACAGCATGCGCCAGGAAACTGTTTCCCTTCACCACTGGAGAGAATAAATACTAATAAAGAATAAATATAATACAAGTATTTATCCCTTGTTCATGGCGATAAATACTTTAAACAAGGCTTTGGACACGAGTGACAGTGGCAATGATTACGTGAGCTAACGTATGCCAAAGGAGGCGAATACAGCACCAAGCGGCAATTTCAGAACACATAAAAACCTCAGGCGCAGCGCCTTGACATTTTGCGGACTCCATGACACATTTATTGTATGCATTTCGCAAAAAGGCATCCAATGTCAGTGACTGAACTATATCATTTCCCGTCCCGCAGTCATTTTAATCACAAGTACCTCAAGTCTTTTGCACGCACTCATGCATACAGGCCACCTGTGACACGACAGCAAGCTTTCCAATGCCAGCCGACGTCCTTGACCCGTGGCAGCCCTGTTGGACTGCTCGCCCTTGGGTCGCTTTTTACGCTTATCGGACCCGAAACGTGAGTCTATGCTATTTTGGTGGGAAAAATGCCCTTCTCAGCTTAAATGTGTAATTTGTGCTGTTCCCGAGCCTTCGGGCTGACCTGAACGGAAAGATCGCCAGCCATAATCGAGACCAGCTAAACCAGACCAAACCAGTTCAGTGAGCTCATTCCTCGGCCTCCTATTGACATGACCATGGAGTGCCTTTCACTATAAAGTACAAGCAACGGTACAAAGTAATGTCTATAACACTTCGGGCGTTTTTAGAGACAAAACATGACCTCGAGCCAGAAACACCTGATGCCGTCACGGACGCATCTCTGCCACCTTCGCCCATGACGCAGCACGCTTGAGGAGCACGTCAGACGATCGCAAAATATTCGTGCCATGACATTGCCATTGAGTGACATGAGGAAAGGCAACTCGCATTTGCCGTGTTTGCGATGCTGCCATTGAGTGACATGAGGAAAGGCAACTTGCATTTGCCGTGTTTGCGATGCGACACTTCATACGCTGAGACCCAGTGGACAAGGGAACGGGGAGATCTGGCGCCCACAGACAGGAATGTGTCGCGGAGAGCACACTTCCCATAGTCCGCCTTCAACGTCTTTCCACATTTTTCCCGAGCAAATATTTGAGAATCCACTTATGCCTTATAGGCCTCTGACCACGCATGATTGGAGGCTGAAATTTGCAGGTCAGTGGCTAGAGGGTTTAAGAGAGCTCAAAGGAGGGGGGGGGGGGGCTAAGACCTAGTCTAGGTTTTAGCGCGTCGCGCTGAACAGTTCGGTATAAGTCGGCGGGGATTGCAGGCCCAACGCCAAGCACAAAAACCAGTGGGGGTTTCCATATTCCCCTGCGCCGATTAGGGTAAGGGCTTCCCATTAGTTCAGCAATCCTCCGTATCCAGCCACGTTCAACCAAACTAAAACATTCTACTCTGGATCGGTGCCAGCGCTCGGTTGCTGGGGATGGTGATCCAAGTCCTCCCGGCATCCTCTATATTCAATCAACCATATAATAACATTCGACTCTAAGCCGGTGGAAGTGCTCGGTTGCTAGGAATAGCCATTTAAGCCCTCTTAAGTTCTTAACTTTAGGGTTAACGCACTGCTAGCGCGGTCGGCAAAAAACCGGACCTTGGCAGCCAGCATTTCCTTTGGTTTTTATTCTCTTTTTGACGAAGTACCTTTCATTTAAGCTTCTTGTTTGCGGCACTCCTCTGCATTTTTGGTTCTCCTAAAGGGAGACTGCAGGCATGTAGCCTAACGGAACTATTGGGAAAATGTCCACTTCAGCGACTCGATCCAGCCAGAATGTTATGTTTTCAAGGCTCTCATATCACCGTGCTTGAGTTTTACCTCTGCTGTATGCACGATGCAAAGATGTTTCTACCTGTGCATCCCGCGCAGCGCCAGATAATAGCACGTTAGAGAAACCACAAGGATGAGAATTCAACCCCAGGCAATAGATTGATCTCACCCTCACCAACTGAAAAGATTACGTACAATATCTGCAACAACTGATTACACGTTCAATACAATTTTCACTAGCATAACGCGCAATTAGTCAAAAGCTGAGCTGCCCGCAGCAACAAAATATTTCACCCACAAAATATTTCACAAAATACTCCCACGCTGAGTCGACGTGTGCGGACAGTCAAACACCGTTCTGCACAAACCAGATCAGTCGGCTTTGGGGAGCTGATGGGCCGATGCTTTCGGACTGATCGGACTGATTTTGAGGACTGATGTCAGAGCTCAGCGGCCAGCCAGATCCGCAGCCAAATCAAGCTGCCCATATTAAGTACCGCCAGTAACCGGCCGGCAGAGGCCAACACCCCCTTCCCAAACCAGTTTGGAATATAAGACGCTGTAGCCGGAACCCAGAGGGATGGGATCGCCCACACTACGCGTGCCAGCATTGCTAGTTCAGTTTTCTACAAACCGCCAATGACTGCAAATGTATCGCTTTTATCCGTCACAACTGCCAAGCCTGACCACAGTCATCATCTTAGAGCAATTCTAGTCGCGAATTATATCAATAGCTCAAAATATTGCATCAACAAAACTTTGCCTGTAAAATTTTCATGAAAGGTGGACTTTCCAACGCACCGATCAGCCCCATTGGTTTCTATTGTCAACGAAGTATGATTCCATTAACTTAGTTTCGGGCATGCCCTACATAATGGCGAATGACAAACCACGTATCATCGAGAAGAGACCTCGTCCCACGTCGAACAAGGCGTCTTGCAGGCAAAACGTACAAGATGAATTACTGAAAAAAGTGAAGATTACATTAAGGTTGTTCGCAGTCACTGTCTTAGAGAGAAAAGGCATGACTACGTAAGTTGTTCAGTGCATTAGCGAGGAGCGTTATTCACGTAGATAAGACAGTAGTATTAGCCTTATTCCTCGGATAAAAACCAGGAGAGTGGAGATACAGTTGGGTTGATATTTCGGCAATATGCCTTTATGAAAACAATAGCACAAGTCACTTCGGCTATTGTTTCGATAAAGGCATGTTGCCGAAATATGAACCCAAGTATATCTCCATTCTCCTGGTTTTTCTCCGAGGAATAAGGCCAATACTACTGTCTTATCTATGAAAAGGACGTGACATCTGAGACAAAGGCAGGCCAAATCAGCAAAAATTTTCACAAGGCATATCTCATGCATGTTTAGAACTAACGAAGACGAGGAAACGCTGCCGCCCCCCCCCCCCCCCCGCCCTTAAAACGCATCTGCACAATTACTTATCTACTGACTATATGACTTGCTTGGTCGTGTAATCTCTACGACAGTATCGCATCGACGACTAAAAAACAGCTTTTCTCGGGCGAGTAGCATGCGGCTTTCTGTGCTGTTGTATCTCGGATCTTACCGGCTGGCCTTCGTGACCATTAACGTCGGGACGTGCAACCAGGAAGTGGGTCAGGGTCAGGTAAAGCACAGATGACAAAAAGCTTCCCTTGGCTTTTATTCTCATCTGCCTACAGCAGAGCAAAAGCTCGTTCAAGTCGCGATTCAAAACTGCATGTGAGCTCCAGACGTATGGATTTTACAGCTTTTGAGAAATGTGTTTGCTTCTGTTTTCTACCAGATGGCGCTGCGCGCCAGGCAAAAACACAAAGAATCAAACGTTTTGTAGGGACGGCTTAGGACTATTCGTTGCAAAACATAACTTGTTCTAATGTCCTGGTGTTGTTCTGGTGTACCACCGATGCATCTGTACCGTGCCACAATGAGACAAACCATGATTTCTCCCAACTCGTTCTGTCGTGCGACTGTTCTTGTCGATGACCAGCCCAAAATGAATTCTGTACAATCGCGTAAAGAAGCAGAAGATCTAGCAAAGCATAGTAGGAAAGCGTTCGATAACATCTACTGCACGTCAAACGGACATGATTGGACTCATGAACGCGAAATGTGACCGGATGATCTCGACAAAATCATTACTCATGACCTAGCAAAGGCAAGATTTTATATTTTCCAAAAACGTGCATAAGCTTTTGACAACTAAGTCCGTTAAATTGTCAGCATCATTTGTTGGTTCTTAAGTTATTACGAACAATCTGATGAGGCAATTTGCGGTCGGACAGTGACCTTTCCAAAGTCAACCCGGGTTGGCGGCATGCGGTGTATACGCTGGACTCTGATCGTTCCTATGTCACCATTAACGTTCAATCTGACTATGTCACCAGTTACACTCACTATGACTGTGCCACCATTTACAATCACTATGGCTATGCCACAATTTACGCTCACTATGACTATATCACCATTTACGCTATGACTCAGACCACGGTTTTATGCTCGGCTGAAAAAGAGCTATCATACGGAAGATGCTCTCCTCAGTTCACATCTTCAACTACTAAGGCTGTGGGCTGCTAACGTAATCAATGGACGGTATACAGAGCTAAATAAGACCGGACACACCAACCAGACCTCGACCAAACCGGACTGGAAAACAGAGATGACTGCGCCCTTGTCCGTAAATGGGAAGTATGCGCCCTTGTCAAGCGAGTAACCAACTACCTCATAAGGGGGTAGCCCTTCGGTGTGCAGACAGCCATACAGTAGCGACATCTGGCTGAAAACGATGGCCAATTCCGAGGGAGGAGCTAACAGCGGAAGCACCGCAACCTTAAGGCTGATCTGACCTGGAAGACCTCTTGACTGGTCTGATGTGACAAAGCAAAACCGCACCTTACTGGATTCTGTCGAAAACAGGCCATTCACCGATGTTTGTTTCGCAGCTCAAGCTAAATAATTAACTCGATAGCGAAGGGGAGTCACGAGTACGAGTCACCGCCGCCACTAACAACGGGAGTCGAAACGGCTCCCGCCCGGCGACGGTTAACGGCGCGACCCTCTGATCAGCGATACAGCAAATCTGCATGCCCGACAGGTCAAGGCAGCTGTCGGCTATGCACAACCAAGC